GTAAAGTTTTGGAGCTTGTGGCTTTCGTAAATATGCAACGGAATGAGGTTATTATAAATCAAGCGATTCTTACGTAAAATGCGGCATTTTCATTTCAACTATGCAACGCCTTAGTATACATTAGATTCTTAGAGGCGATACTAAAGTCCCAAATATATAGTACGAAAAGTTGACAGTCGTTCTTGGCCGTGCATATACTTGGCGGAAGTGTGTACGCTGACCGTAAATAATGCAGAACAGCTCTTCAACTTGCTTAAAAGCTCTCGCACAAAAAGCAAGTGAGGTTTCTGTAGTACTTATACATCCTCCTCCAAGAGCAAAGTACGCGTCAAATTTAACGATGCTGACAATTAAACGTTTGCGCGTTCAGGAGATAACGCTGCCTTAAACACGCCTAAATTCTTGCCAAATTTGCAAACGTCCAGAAACCAGCCTAGTTGCGTCGACCGAGACAATTCAAGTTGGTAATATACGATAGTTGATTAAATGAAGTAGAAATATCAGTGAAATTACCTTCATGCTATTTAAGGACGAAAATTAAGGGATCAAAGTAGAAGAACCAAAAGAACCTTAACTCTGAGTAATTGAATAAACGCTAGCTGCATAAGCGCATATCATGTGTCCATGTAAAAATGAAAAAGAAGACTACTTAAAAATTACGATTAAAATGACAATCTAGGCAAATATAAATGTATATAATCTCAAGGATTTATTAGAGCACGCAATGCGGCAGCCAGTCGATTTCTGAATGCTCGCTTAAGATAGATAAAACAGTTTTCTGGCATGTCCGTGCAAATGTCTTGTATGTGTATTGTTGAAAATTCGGTGGACGATAGCAAAAAGGATTTAGCGGGGTTTCACGGATAGCATAAGTATATGAAAATTAATATAAGCTAAGTGCGATAAGCAGGTAGTATACCAAAAGAAGAAGAAGTGCACACTGAAAGAGGTTTTTGGGTGTATCCATTCGCAGATTACAAAAAAAACAAACAGCGGCGTATAATAAAAGTATTGCTTATGAATATTTAGCCATTGAAAATGGGTAGATTAATAAAAACTATTCGAAACTTCAGGTATTCAACTAACCTTGCCCTGTGAGCAACCCTATATACTTTTGAAATGCACAGAAACCTTCACGAGGGGATATATTAGGAAATAAATTGGTGAATATGACACTATGATGTAATAAGTAGTTGCGATTATAATTCTGCCAACATCAACAGACTAAAATAAGTTTCCTGCCATGCAATTATCGTGTACTTTGCGGTCAGCATTCCGGGAATAATTGACCTTTCAGCGAATACTTTACAACCACCGATGTCTTATATTTATTTTCAAGTACAACAGTTTGCGCGCGTTGGACCTTTAAAGTCTAATATGTAAGTTTTTAGGCCAGTGATGTTGACTTACTGGCAAACAAATGTAGGGTCATATTGTGGGACTCAAACATGTAACGTATAACCAGCACAAACCTGGTTCAACTGTCTAACTTCTGTAGTGACGATGTTCATCACCATTGTTAAATACTCCATTTAATTAGCTATTAAAATTTTGTTTTACTGGGATACTCCGCTTAGAATATTTCACATATCTCAATGAAGAAATGCCTCCACAGATGCACTACTCCCCAAATTTTTAATTTAAGCCTAGAATTAAACTTAAGCATTATGTTCTCTTAACTCTAATCTCCACTGAAACCTAGTCGTAACTCTAATCTTGTCTGTAGTCCTAAGCTTCGGAAAATTATACTTAAGGCTACCATATAAATATTCTTTTTGTATTTAGACCTCTTTGACACATGCTTATTTATAACATCCGTTCTGATTTAGTGATTAAATTACTTTGTAAGCATATAAATAACATATTTTTGGGACGGTTATATCTGTGTCCGTTTTGGTATCAAAGTGCGTGCTTCAAGGAAATGGACCACACGCAGTTAAAAGGGCCACTTAATAGCAAGGCCTTGTGAGTAACCTATAGGATATTTGCATACACCCTATGGATGGGCTTAAACAATGGTTGTTTGTGGTCGTAAATAATCAAATTCACAAGGCAGAAATTTCCAGGAAGGCCATCATTTGTTCTTTTGAAAATAACTTCTTCTGTTTTGCTATGCCTGGTTCATACGGACCGTAAAATTAGAACATACATTTGACAACCATTCTTTTTCATCATCACTTTCTGCTGCAGAAACATGCACAGAAGCATGCATGTGGCCTACGATTCTTAATAGTATAAGAGCGCGCTTGAATATAAGGTGACATTACGATCCAACTGAAGTTGGAAACGGTGGGTTGATAAAGGAATAGATTATATTTTCTATTCGAAATGCCGTTTTAATTTTGCGCGTTTTGTTTGTAAGTAAATTATGCAGCCATTGTGAATTCCTGAATTTTTCATCAATCATTTTTTGTGATTTACGCCATTGACTGTAGATGCGAAAGAATATTGACTGGCTTTGAGTATTTTTGTGATAATAAGATTTTTTAAAGTCGGTTAACCACCGGTCAAAGTGGAAGTACACCATTTTGAGAATAAGAAAAGGCCAAAAAAGTATGACAGTAGGCAGAATAGCAACTGGCAAGCTGTTGTGGGCTAACCATAGATGAAAAAATATTTACCGTTTGCTATTGCTGTCATATGTGTTTGAAATGGTGAAACAGGTTATGATGACGTCGTTGACATCTAACCAACCAATATGTTATTCATCTAAGACCAAAAGATTGTTGACGCCGAACAATTATGCTTAGAGCAATTTTAAGACTACTCATCTTCCGGACACCCAATGAATGCAGAAGCATGTATACTAAAATTAATAATGATTTTGTCGTTATTGCTTTGAGCTACTTTGTGGATCCGTTTACTTCATTAGCTATGGTGATGCAAGTATACATAAAGTCTATCAGAGATAGTCAGGACATTTTGGGTACAGGATGCGATACGCTATGCCCGACTTAGTGGATCTCCTATTGCCCATAAGTATATAAATTCAAATTCAATACAGAGACTGAAACCTAGGGAGAAGAAGGCTTACCAGTTAGGTAGTTTGGGGAACAATAGGACTGGTTTATATGAATGAACTAAATGGGGCGCCTGCAAGTATTGTTGATGACGAGAATCCTTTACTTACTTGATTATTGCGTTGTTTAGATACTTACCATACATATGTGTCTATATTTATGCTACCAGAGTCCACGTATTTTAGTACTATATTCGATTTCTTTATGCTTTAATTTGCCAGTTCTTCGACCTCTATGGGCCACGGAAATCGATTAACTACAAAATTAAAAAAATACATGCGGCTTTTGATACCTTGTCGTCAGGGAGTTTACTACGAGAAGAGATACATTCAGTCACTTACCCAAACGTTTGAGTGACCCTCCATTTCGCTTAAACTGGCTGTTTTTGACCCATTAAGTTGAGGATCATGCAAAAAGACTAATTTAAAGTAAGAGTGTAAATTATTGAGAATCAGCAGATGCAATCGCTGGAACAAGAGCCTTATTTGCCTGCCTGCTTGGATTCCTTTGTGAACTTTTCATCAGAGACAGTAGCATAAACGGGTTAAGTGACTTTTTGACAAAGAAAATAAGTATTGTACTAAGTCCAAAAGATCAATAGCTGCCCACGGTCATGGTTCATGTGTAGAGCGTGGAAGCATCAGAGTAAAATAGAGCAAACAAAATTCCGAAACAATCGTAAACGGCGACAATTAAGAGCATTTCTAAAAATGTCATGCGCGGTATTTCATGCTATTTAACATGGTTATTACTCATCCTAAGATGGCCCAAAGTAGGCTGTTGGTAGCCAAATATAACTGCTTCTCAGTATGTGGTGTTTAATAGGAAACTGTGAGCGTGAGGAAACTGTTAGGTAGGAACCGTAATAGTATGATGGTAAAAGGAATGTAGCTACCATTCTGAGTGCCTTTTTCCCATTACAAGCGAATGGTTAATAGGTTGTTTGGATGGCGTTAGGTTAGATTTTTACCGCTATAGATTTGTAATAAACAAAAGCTGTTTAGTTTGGAAGTCAAGAAGAAAACAAGTGCGTTTTCATTGGCACCATTTCCATTTTCCTTGCGAAAATTGCCGTGAGAGAGAGTACAAGCTTAGCGAAATCCAGCAACCACAAATATAATTGCATTTTCGATCAAAAAACGTTTCTGTCTGTTTTCTTACTGGCAGTTTCAGTGCGGTAGAAAGATTAATGAGGATAAACGGAAGTCATCTAACTAACTCCAAGCCACCCTTCCATCTGACCGTGCAGCGTGGTTAAGGCCACTGGGGCCTGATGTCTGATTACTGTACGGTTTACTCGAAGCTGCCCGAAGACACGGAGAATGAGGCTGCTGTCCCAAACGTTACTTCTGTCGGTATGAGAAAATGAGACCTGATAAAAAACGGATACTCTAACACTGCTGGTTATGTCTAACTTCTCCCAACTTCCAGACGTTTATGTAGAATTAACATAAGACTCCATATTAGACGTGTGGAAATGTTCTGAGTTATAGTTTACACCTACCCATGGATCTTACGATATATTTCTGCTTTTTAAACCTTTATATGAGGTGCTAATTCATTAAATATTACTTGAACTCTGAGATGAATTTTCTATTCGAAACTACTACTATGGTTGGCAGTAATACTAAATAGCATGCAGCATAACCACAAGTTATTTAAGCCACATCAGGTTACTGGCCTTTGAACAGGCTTCCTATCTGCAGCCAGAAAAAAATTAGACTCATAAAAAGAGTATGCAAGAAGTATACCTTCCTGCATTAATTTTAAACGCATTTGAAAATTTCAGCTTATTTAACGAGAAAAACATAAGCAAACATATTTATTTATTTTATTCCCTTAATGATAATGCGCGCTTTTATCCAGCGTTTATACGTTAAAAGGCGTAAATTTAGTTTTACAATACCTTCAGCATAAGAATTTTTCGGCCATCAGATATCATTTATTTAAATATATGGCCATCATGCCTGGGCATTTGCTAATACTGCTTATGCAGTACACGACACAGACCCCATTCATTAGCATCATAGGAAGTCCTCTTAACAGCATAGAGAAATGTGTGCCCTACCTTAGACGAACGAACTGGAAACGCTTAATGCACATCCAAAAGTAGATCGGGTCCAAAATTAATCATAAATTGGAAATATTTTTTATTATTATTCGCGCACATTAAGTCCAAAATTATACATCATGATACAAATGTTAGTCTTGCCTGAATGCGAAAAAAACAATATTTCTGTAACCTTCTGTCCACTATATATTTGAAGTTATAATGGTGTCAATAATATTTGAGAAACTTTATACAAATTACGTAGAACATTTTGAACAACTAACGTTCCCACAGGCGGTCGAAAGGTAGCTCGTTAAAATATTAGCATGCTGAAGTGACTAGAATATGACTGAAGTATGCTGCAAGACAATTCATTCAAAACTCATACGTAGGTAATCTTTTCAAATAAAAAATAACGTATTTCATAATTTTGACTTATATATCCCGAGAAAGCGGGCCAACCGTTATAGTAAATCAGGGCTTAGGTCAGGATCTATGATTTGCAACGATTAAACGATGTTTAAAAAGACTTTGTACAAATGCCTGTTTAGAATTCTGTTCCAACTTTCTTCCTCAAAACTTCGCTTGCACTATGTATGTTGTAACTGGGGCTTGCCGATACCAATTAAATCTGACATCAGTTAGAACGTGAGAGCATTCGCAGGACGCTGCTGGGGAGAGGGTTAGCCAACCCATGACGGATAATCGCAGTAAATTTTTGTAGAGAAACTTGGAGTCGCTAATGACAACTCGAGCATCTCAACTACTGAGAAGGTAAGTACAAAATGCATTGACCAAGTAAACTTGTCCTGTCTACTTTAATCAGTTACCTGTACCCAATTTTTCCTATCAGTGCCAATGTATTTTTCAGACAAAATAAGTAGTCTAAAATAAAGTAAAAATAAGTGTGTGTAACTTACTTTGACATCAATTCGCCCCTCAATATTTTGGCCATTGAAATCGTAACGGAACTTAACATTTTTATTCAGGTTTACCTTCACTGCAAACTGCTACAGTCTCCTACAAAAGCTAGATTCGTTTGATTTTAGATTGACCCCTATATCCATTCTAAATATTTTAAACCCATCGTACAACATCTTGAAAATTTGGATCATCAAATTGTGGCAAGTATTCTATTAGTATGAATTTTATGCAAAAAGTTGATGACAGCAAAGAAGCTAAAAATTGCCATTCTATTAACTGTGAAGGGAATACGTTACGGTTTTTAATTCTGTTTGATTTGACCTCCCACATAGGTTGTAGCCGCTGCGATCCAAAGCTAGACTTAATTGTTCATTTTCCTTGGGTAACTATGACATACTGGCAAACACCACTGTCATTAAATAAAACATTTTATTCGCAGAAACAGAGGTATGTCCTGCGCAGCGGTTTGTTTGCGAACTCCAGACAAGGGGAGCAACCGAGAACGAGGGCTGCGTGCGCGTGAAATGGCGAAATGCTGGTCAGTGCCAGAGGGAGTTATTGCGAAACCATAACAAGTCGACTCGGAACTTCGTATAACCGTGACATGCGTGCGCAGAAGTAATGAGATATTAGGTGATCAGTGTTGTCCTACCAGAGACTGTCGTTCGCAAGATAATTATCAGCAAGTTACACGCTCTTGTGACGATTGCGTGCAGTAAAATACTTCTACTCGTGATAGCCCCCGCCTGTAGAACATATTTCAGGTCAATTCAACTCGAATTAACGCAGGGTTTTTGACTAGAAGGTTGCAAACAGTGACTTGTTTCGTTATATTAAGGTCAGAATTAACTACAGATACAATTTTTCTTAAACTTAAGAGGTAATCAAACCTTTTATTTTTGTGCCCTGCTTTATGGCGCACTTTATCATTAGAATATAATGTAACAGTATTTATTTAATGTATTTTGGTCTGCAAACATCCTATCGCAGACGCTTCAGAGAGAAATGAACTCCAGAGTTGGCAGTTACGTACGTCCTGTTAATGTCTGGGAGCGACTGCCAACCAAATTGGCTGTTAGGAAGTTTCATTCATTCCGACGATTTAATAAAAGTACATTATCAACTGGGACTTTGGCTGCTCTACACCAATATTTAAGCTGTCACACGGTGTACGAGACGTAATTTATTACATACATTCTTAAAGTTTATAAGGTTTTTACTACGAAACTAACAAATATGTTTCAGTTAATTGGTGCCCTTTCAGGTCATGTTTACTGTTACCAGCGTAAATCATGAACTTCGAAGGTGTGAGCTGAACAATTAGCAAGATGTCTCAGTGAAAACCTTATTCTAGACCTTTATTTTCATTCCCATTTAATCACAAATGGAAGATGGTCAGATGACAATGAACAAGAATATGAGCGTTTTCACGTTACGCAGTGTCAGGCCTTTGGACATTTTAATTTGTCGTTAAAATATTAATGCTATATATGCATTCAAAAATGCGGTTTGAGGTCAAATTGCAGTAAACTCAGAGTTTTTAAGTAAGTCGAAAATGATGAACTTGCAAAACCATAAGTGTCATTCCGTTACCCACGGTGTGAAACCAGTTTCTAAAATAATGACAAGTAGCATGAAAAAAGAAGGGTGATAGGGAAGAATGTTTTTTAATGACGATTTATGTCGTGAATAGTGGGTGAAAGTAAAGGAAATAGCTTCGGTTCGGAGTCGGGGCAGAGCAACGCTAATCCAAATATTATGTGGAGTAGTCAACCGTGACTTTATATTTTTTATGTTGTTTCTTCAGCAAATCATGGAGAAGAATAGGTTGAACGCGCAAAGGTTTCCTTAATGCCATATTTGGGGCAGCAGTGTGGCCAATACTCAGGAGATTTTTTCTGATCGCGGCGATCGGTGTCTTGATTATGCGCTTTCAACTGTCATGCTGTCTTTAGTTCGAGTAGCAAAATTGTCAGTTCGCATTACACTTCTCTGACCTATGTACATCAGGACTACGAGGGCCTTTGGCTGCGAAAAAAGTGGAGCTATATGATATTTTTGAATTCGGCCTCCGCTGAAGTAGTGATTTGAAAAAAGAAAAACATAAGCAATTCCTCTTTGAGACTTATCTAAATATGTCAAATGTTTGCAAATAAATTCATCCTTTATTTTTCCGGTAACTACTACTTAATTTAAATTTTCCGTTTCTAAGCGATTAATAAACAACAGATTGGCACGCAAGAAATGAATTCTTAAGCTAATAGAATGAAAGCTAACCCACAATGGACAAAAGGTCTGCATTTCTCAATGTGTCAAGGGTGAACTGACGTGACTTCATGGATAAGGAAGAAGACGTATCGAGCACCGGATCAATTGATTTATCATCCTGAGCTTTCGAACTCTTACAGGAGTTCATCTTCAGAGGTAAGAAGCAGC